AAACCCGAGGTATGTTTCCAAGAGCGCTAGGTTTCCATTATACTGTAATACTTTCGCTTTCTTATTCCTTTTCACAACCACAGAGCAAAAGCTGCCTTGTGATATTCCAAGTTTTACTGCATTCTGCGAGGATGGGTAGTATGATCCGAATGCCAAGCGCTCACCCGATCGGAAGAGCCCTGTTCCGAACTGTTACAGTAAGCCGAGTCAACCAATAAATGTTGCTACCCCGAACCACTTCATGAACATCGCCGAAACTTGAATCTGTCAATACCCGCTGCAATGATAAGCATAATAATATTTCTGCTTGAAAGTAGGGGTTATTACTTATATGTTCGTGGAAGTTCAAGAAGTATTTTTACTGGTTTTTTTCAGATTAAAAACACACTCCTCACTGGAAAGCGTTGTCACAGCGACAAGGTATTGTGCAGGGCGATTTCTGGTGTACTCCAAAGTCAGGGTTATTGCGTCATAATAGGTTCTAATACTTTGTATGTGTCTAAGGTGAGGCTTCATTTTAGTCGCCACGGAATTTCTTTTTTTTCTAAGCTGTAACTACCGCTTAGCTTTATTTGCAGTTGTTACACACACTTGCCGCATTCATACCTGAAGAACTACGTTGGTGTTGTCCTAGGATGTACCGTCACAAGTTTAGTCCGTATGTTCGCCTTCAAGCTGTTCGTCGAGTGAGTTGTGGTTCTATTCTGACCGTTCGCTTCACGTAGATCATATGGGTAGAGTTACATTATCCCTTCGTCATTAATGTTCTCTACTTTTAAGGCGGTTGGGAAGGGAGGAGAAGGCACTAGCAATGATGCAAAGTGGCATTTCAGTTCATACCGTACGACCAGCGTGGTTTATTCGTGCGCCTTCTGTTTAGAATGCCGAAAAGGCAGTGGGCACGATGGCTAGAGGCGGGTAGTTGTCACCAACGTAACTGGTGTAAGGGCTGGGTGGGGTGTGGACAGACACTCTCTTTGAGCCCTCTCACGAATGGCGCTGGCAACAACCACCCGCCTCCAGCATTCGTGCTCGCTTTCAGGGAGCTTCAGAACTTTCTAAAGGGTACCCGAAATTAAGTGCTAACAAAGCATTAAAGAGATTGAAGCAAGCCTTGGGGAAAAAAGTTATTCAA